TGACAATTGGGTCAACAGACGATTGGGAGTTCAAAAGGGGTCCTACAGACCCAGTGCAGGCCAGTGTTGGCGCCACTGATTGCGAGCTCCAAAGGGATTGCGCCCTGAGCAGGTCCCAAGGTCCTTCAAGCACTGAGAGGTCACTTTCAGCTGCATCACCAAGGCTCCATTCAAAACACGTGGTTCCATTGGCCTTTCGAACGGCCTCGCTGTGCTCACTGTACCTATTCGCCTCCTTGAGCCCTTGGCCATGGCAGGCTCCGGCCGTCACCAGAAGAACAGCGGTGTCAGATCGAACAAACCTTAAGTGGATAAGATGCAAATCACCTGACCTTGAGTGGTTCCTGAAGGTGGATCCAACATCTGACTTTGAAGTCGCCGTTCTCAAGGTTCGGAATTTCGCCCGCCAAGGTATGATCGACCACTGGGTTAGGGATGTGCTGCCTTCGGCAGGCTTTTCGGCGAAGCTGTTGCATCATTATGAGACACACTAGCCCAGAACACTTAGGCTCTAGATTGCATCATTCATCATTATTCATCCCTGGAAGGCCGTCTTGAGCCAGCATGCTGCAAAAGCGCGACTGCCAATGACCAGGCTTAATGAACAAAATAGAACAAGGTTACAGAAGAAGTTCAAGCTGCTCATGAATGGTCACGTGTGGCCACGTGACCATTTCTCCATCCGAAACATTTTGGAAGAGTCACACTTGGTTCATCTTGGTTCTACCCGTTATATACATGTCCATAGAGCATGAGAGGGTGGATTGATGAAGTTATAAAAGTTCGATGCAAAAGCATAAGGAAGGCTGCTCCTGTAGGGCTGCGGGTTTTTTGCGACAGTTTTGGGGGGTTTTTTGCAACGGTAGGTGTGAGAGGGTTTTTTTTGCGACGGTGACCGCAGAAAGGGTTTTCTGTGACAGTACTGTCCGCAGGGGGGGTTTTTGCGACGGTGGGGCGAGGGTTTTTTGCGAGCGATAGAGAGGTGGCAAGCGTTTGTGGGGGTTTTCTGCGACGGTAACCGGGGTTTTTTGCGACGGTAGCGCGTGGACGGGGTTTTCTGCAACGGTAAGCGGGGTTTTTTGCGACAGTAAGGGGCTCGAGGCGACGGTACTATAGTAGTACGACGACGACGACGACGACGACTACTACTATACTACTACCACTTCTACTTCTACTTCTTACTACCGCTACTACTACTACTACTGCTGCTACTACTACTACTACTTCTACTTCTTGCTGCTACTACTACTACTACTAGGACTACGACGACGACTACTATACTACTATACTGCTACTACGACTACGACAACCAGTACGACGAATAGTATATTAAGACTACTAACTGCTAGAACGAGTATACTACTCCTCCCATCAGAAATCCATTGTGTTCTGATGCTAATCACAAGCTAATTCTGGATGCTTTGTTGGCTCCGCTACCATTTGTTAAACATTTCGGTAAAACACTTCCATTTGTTAAACATTTCTGGAATGTTCAACGTTTCTCATTTGTGCGACAAACTCTTACACAAAGGTATGCGTACAAAAACAAAACAAAACACAAACAAACAAACAAGCACACAAGCGCGAGTTCGAGTTCGCTGCTGCTGCTTCTACTATTCTGACTGACCACTACTCACTCCAAGCCCAGGGGGTTTTTTGCGACAGTAATTTCAGAACTGTGGCAGAAAACCCTGCTTTCCAGCAGCACCGTCGCAGAAAACCCCCCTTGCAGGTAGCACCGTCGCAGAAAACCCCCTTAACTGTGCAACTGTTTAAAAGAACCCCTAAAACTGTCGCAAAAAACCCCCGTCCCCGGACAAACAGTCCCTGTCAGTCGTAATGTGAGGCACCAACATCCGCAAGGCTGCAAGTGGCGCCATCATGTGATCACATGTGTTCACCATGTTGACAGCTGCTGGTCCCTGTACTACTAGATGTTCTGGTAGTACAGTATAGTGGCAGTGCAAACGCGGGATGCTTTGACGCAAAACATATTGAACGAATTCGTGATATACAATTGATTTGCAGTCCTCAAACCACCTCCTGTGACCAGCGATTTGCAGAACCCTACATCCAGAATTTCAGCAGTCAAACGCTTGTGAGATAGGGTTTGGCATCCGAAGTGAAGCTCAAGCTTGGAGTTGGCTTCACCTTGGGGTCAGCGCATGATGCTGCACGACGCAGTCCAAAATCGGCGCGGAGCATTTTGAGCCAATGGCTTGACTGCCATCCGAAGAACGTTTGTGAATCCGCTGCTGAATTTCCTCTAGCTGGGCCAGCCACCCTAGCATTGCAAAATTAAGTAATGGCCACTTATGGCCACTTGTCACTATCTATCTGCATGTGAATCACGTGACACGTGCATGAGTTTCTGAAAGATCCGAATCCGAATCACCTGACCAACCCCATGACAGCATGGATCAACTAACCCCACCTCTGTTGGGCTCCGAATGTCGAACCCCGGTTCAGCTGTCACGCCTTGCCGCACTGTCTTGCGCCTGGGGAAGAACGTGAACTGAAGGTGGACTTGGTGAAGAAGGCGCAAAGAAATCACATAATGAGCAGTAATCAAAAAAACACAAAAACTCTTAATGAGACTGATAAATTATACATTTACCACCTGGCATGAACATAAAACTAGCCTCCTTGATGACTGGTAACCGTTTCAACAGGAGAGACTCTCTGGAAGCCACCAAACTCAGTCTCCGTGCCGCTCGATAATGCTCTGGATCATAAGCCTCCATTAGGCTTGGTACCGTCGCTTGGTGAACATGAGCCATTTGCAGGCTTATGACCGGTGGAGTTGGGCGTGACAGATGGTTTCACCTGTACCATCATGGATCGGTCTGGTGAATCTTCCATGTTTCCCCCGAAAAACGGGTCATGGAAAGGAAGAACGCCACACATTCTCAATTCTAGTGCACATCTAAACACCCAGTGAGCCCCCGGACCCCATCGGTTCATATTATCCGATCGACGACCTCGGACCGAGGTGAAGCAGCGGGCGGTGCCCACCGGCTGCCGTGGCCTCCACCTGGGTGAGGCTCACATTTTGGGGCTCCGACTTGGCTCCTGACGCGTGAGACTTGACCAACGGGCAGGCAGTTTGTAGGGGTAGCCTTATCTAGCCTTCAAGCGAGTGATACATGGCAAGTATATTTTACAGGTCCGGCAAGTGGTCTTCTGCAAATGTTGGAGGTCTCATTCTCTGAAGAAAGTGATTTGTCTCTCCACTGCTTCAGCACAAATCAGCCAGTTTTGACCAAAAGGGGGCACATCTATTCGTCTCTCCACTTATCGAAGATCGATTGCCATCGCACGACGGCCAGCTACCGCACGACGGCCTTTTTGGATGAACAGTCACGAGCGGCTCGGTCACGAGCGGCCGTCACTGCTGTTCTGTGTCCGAGAGATCTGCGAAGGGGTCCAGCCTACGCGGTCCAACCGAACAATCGTTGTAAAGTGAAGCCGGCACATGCCGAAACCATGAAAGGCATGTGGCATGAAAGTCAACATCTTCGGCATGAAAGGATTCATGGATTCACCAAATCCCTGCTGACTACCATCTGAAATGCAGCTTTGCGTCTCAGGGAAGTCGCCACAAACCTCACGGCGCAAACGGGGTGAATGCGTCCCACACGTGCTATGCAGCTAAGCAGTAGAAGATTGGGATTGCCACCGCAAACCTCCTCCTCCACCAAACAACCTGAATTGCATTCAATGGCTTTGGGCTTGCCCACTAGCCCAATCCCGCCCCAAAAAGCCACCGCCCAAGACCGAGCGTCCACATCCTTCGGCTGTGCCCAAACCACCGGAGCATCTTCCCGAGAGGGCTCAAAGTAGCGAATTCCTGTCGGCAGGTCAAGGCTGTCGGCCATCCGCCGTCCCCGTTGGAAATGAAAAGGTGACTTGGAAGCTGATGGTTTGCCTTAGCCATTTGGCTTTCCGTTTCGGGTCAGATTGCCCCCGGGAGCGGCTGGATCTGGTGAAAAAGCGAATTCGTGCAAGCTGCAAAGCAGCCTTCAAGCTCAAGGGTTGCCGATGGACCAAAATCACATTAGATCGAGAAATGATGACTTATTCTGATCGAATTGATATCTTGAGATGCTCATCCATCAAGAGGTTAGCATATTGCCATTCAATGCCATATGCATATAATGTATACATCCCTTCACCATCTTTCTACCACAACTGGTCCACGAGATCTTTCTTCCGCTGAGCATCCATCCAGCCATCTGGAACCCAACTGAACATCATCTCCTTGTGACCTTGGCCAAGAGCGACGATATCGGTTTGTCTGAATATGGTGGTCTGGCAAACATTGAGTCCACTTTGTTAGGCCTTAGTGCTACTTGCAACTGGTAGCCCAACCAACAAACAAACCTATGCTTGCTCAACGAAAGGATCCCTATCCAATCAAATGCCGCTGCTGCCTTTCATCCGCTCGTGGCCATGTCGGGTCCCCCGGCACCGTCCTGGTGCAAACGACCGCTACAGGCCTAAGCCGAGACACCACGGCGGGAGCTCTGACCAACCTGCAAGAATCACACAGGTTAAAATTCTCTTTTGGTCAGAGCACTCTTCACCGGGCGGTACCCATCAGCTCGGGCCTTCGGCTTGGCTTCTCCAATCGGATCTTCAAAAGTCCATTGCTCCATCGATTCACTCTCGGTCATGCGCTCTGCGAGTTCCGAGAGCTCCAACACTTGATCCGTGGAGGCATTAAACTCCTGCAACATGAACTGCAAAAACTTGTTTCGCCAGGCTGGAAAATGATGAAGGCGTCTGGCACCCTCACTGCACAAGTCCGCTACTGCTGCCGAAAACTCTTCTGACTCCGGAACCAGGGTTTGCTTCTTGACCAATTCAGTCTTGACCTGTTGTTCCGTCTTGACCTCACTCTCACGAATGCTCTCCAAGAAATGGGAGATTGAGCCGGTGGCGATGCTCTCACGGATGGCACCACCCCACTTCTGGCAGCCGTCTGGCAACGGAAGCACTTCTCCATTGCGCAACAGTTCAACACCTGGGCATAGGTCTGCAGCACCTTCTGCAGGGTCTCTTCGGCCTTGTCCAACATTGTTGCACTACCATGAACCTGGCACATCTTGGTGGTCTTCGTGAACGTGAATGTCAGCACGTTGTCTTCACCTCCAAACAGCTTGTCATTCACATGTCGTGCCGGGATCCTGGCCTTGCACATTGCTTTGGACTGGACCATGTTCTTGGCATACTCATCTCCATCAACCACGCAGGAACTAACCATGCACTCGAAAAGTGCACGGATCTCCTCATCGGAAATCTTCTCAACAGCAACTTTCACCATGGCTCCTACGGAGGGTCGAACGAATTGGACTGCCGTCTCCTGTTCGGTCACTTGAGCGTCACCTCCGGTCACACTCTGTCTCTGCAAACGAACCTGTCTCTGAGCGGCGGCTGCTTCCATCATGGTGCTCTCGTTACTTAGGTGGTATTTATGGGTTATCATGGCTGCTCTAAGAAGGTCCATTGCTTCAGGCGACTCCTTAGTTAATGCGTCTGCAAGTTGAAGCCATGTCGGCGCCCATCGAATCTTGCCCCCAACACGCGCAAGCGTTTCTCGCACGATCACAAGGTCAATCGCGACTCTTTTGTCGCTGACACTTCCAGGGGATGCAAAGTTCTGGAGATGATCGTAAATGCTCTTGCAATCAACAATGGCCTGCAGCTGAAACTCTCTCAACTTGGACTCACGATTTGCGAGCGAAAAATCAAAATGCTTAGCCTCGGCTATGTGACATGCTACCCACTCTGCATGCCCCAACCCATCAGAGAGCACCTGTGATTCCCCAGCGAAAGTCGAACCTACGACCCTTTTCAGTCGATAAGACTTCCAAACACATGGGCTCCATGCGGCAGGCTTACCTATCTGCAACTCTTTGGTTGTCACCCCAACAATGTAACCTGCCTGGGTTCCTTGTTTCTTGGCATTAGCGAAAGCGGCATCGGTGTGCAAACACAGACACAGATCGTTCAGTGGGATTGGCAGGATCTTCCAAACCATGGTCTTGTACTGTTTTGCTCTCCTAACGACATTTCCTACCGTCCGAGCAGCCCCAAGTGTCGGTCGGGGTAGCAATTGCTGCCCCTGGCTCACCTGTACGGCGAGATCTGGCCTGGTTTCACGAGCGAGCCATAGTGCACCGCCCAAAACTGACTTAAGGGATGATGCTTCGGCTTGGTTGATTTCTACCAAGGGGGATTCCTTTGTTCTCAACTTTGGTTTCTCAAGCTTCTCTGCAAATTTCTCTTGACTGACCGAAATGGCAAATGTCTTTGGGCATTGGTGCAACTCAGAGCCACAAAAACTCCCAGCGCCGATCTTCCATTTCCTAAATGGAAAGGTGTCACGCAATCGTTTGATAGACTGCTCGAATCGCTTGCCACGGCCGCCCAAAACGACATCGTCCACATGGACGCCTAGCACTCCTTGCAATTCAGTACCTACCCAAAAGAAATAAGTGCAGTGATCCAGCTTGGATTGTGTCCACCCGAGTTTCTTGATGGTAGTATCGAACTTCATGAACCATTTCTGAGGTGAATCGTTAAGTCCATAGATTGGCCTAATCACTTCAAACAATTGCTCAGCATCATGGTCAGGAAGTGCGAAGTTCTTTGGTGGTGCCATGTACAGTTTCCCGTTCCCCCTCTCCATCTCATCAGCCTCAAGGAATGCCCCAGTGACGTCTCCTAATTGCATTTCATACTGCTGACTGGCTATCACCTGGAGGACCGTGTATCTACCATTGGAGGAGATGGTCGGGGATTGAGTATTTCCTTGCCTAATGAGTGCCAAGAGATCAGGGTCTTTATCTCCCCTGGCTGTCCAGCGAGCCTTGACAATTTCCTCGCCTGAGTCGTCCAGTTTTTCTACCAACACCAACTTGCTTGGCACGATTCGGTCTGGTTCTTCTTGGCGGATTCTTCTCGAGTGCTCAACTGTCAAAGGTCGAAGGGCCTGTTTGTCCTGGACGACATTGGCGATTTCTTTCCGCACTCCAGCGACAAGTTTGGCTTTGCCAGAGGAACTGGTCCATCTCTCTTCTCGAAGATTCAGTTCATTTCTACCTCCGGCTAACAAAACATGTTCACACTGACCGTCCATGCGCAACACGAAGTCTTCCGAATCATCCCCTACTGACAATGACGTGGCTTGTTGACCAGAGTCGATCATTAGTCTTGCATGACTTGATGCTTCACTCGAACCTGAACTACTTGGGACAGGGATTGCTTCAGGTCTGATGGGATGTTCGGACGGACTTGGCAGGGATGGTGGAAACCGTTGACCCCCTACATTTTGTGGCTCAACCATTCTCTGTCGTTTGTCTGGTGGTTCGCTCGGTGCTTCTAGATGCTGTTTTCTTACCAGTCCATCTAGCCTATCTGCCCTCCGTGCTGATTCCTCCCACGCCATGCGATCATCTTGGGACATCTGGCTCAGTCGTTCTGTCAGGCTTTTCTCACTGCTACGAATGCTTTCTGCCTCTTCCCCGGGGGATGCTTCTTCACCTCTTGACATGGACTGTGCAGATGATTGGTTGATCGACGGAGGCGTCTGAGGAACTTCAAGGCTTTGAGGGGTTCGCGGAACTTCTTGTTGTCCCGGAGCGATCTCTGGTGAGCTCTGGGTCGGTCGGCAGTCAGGCATTCCTGGTGGCTGAATACTTGTCAAGTCTCCTGGAGGTGTGTCTTCAGCAGTAATGTCAAAATAACATTTCTGGTGTGGTCGACTGGAAACACCCACCTCAGGCCACAAGGAAGCTGCAGCGGCCCTGAGATCACGGACTAGGAAACGATCAGCTTCCCGTTCCTCTGTCGTCCTCAATCGCAATTGCTCTGGTGAGCATTCGACGAACGAGCCAGGCATAGAAATCCAGTAGTTTCCACCGGCGCAGCCTGCCACTATCCCGGGTCCACGCCATCGTGCACTGGACTTCTTAATTCCCTTGCCCCTACGCCAGATTGCCACCTCATCACCTACACGGAATTCTCTTTGAGGGCGTGGCCTACTATTTAGGGCTATCCTAGCTGCTTTGTGGTCTAATTGTTGAAGGACCTCTTGTCGGGCAATGCTCCTAGCACGATGTTGATATTCCGCGATTGCGTCTTCTAGGATGGCACTATTGCTTATTGGATTCGGCTTTTCTGAACACAAGTCGTCACCCGGGCACTCTGGATCACGGCCGAACACCAGCTGGAAAGGACTGTGGCCAGCTCTTCGGAGCAAGGAATTTCTTGCCTCGACCGTGACGTCTACACATTCTTGCCACTGTGAGTAGTCTTGGCGTGCCATTTGATCAACCACTTTTCTGAAAGCTTCCTCAAAATGCCATCCCTGGCTTTCGACGTCACCCATCTGTTCGTGCGCTTCACCTGGAATGTCCAGTGGAGTCGTGCCGTCACGCTCAAGCATGTCTAGGAACTGCTGCCCCAGATTACACCGACTTGCGTCGAACTTGAGGTATCGTGGCCTACCATATGACCTGGTCCAATACCGGTACAGTCGGCCGATGACTTCTGAGGTTTCCTGTTCTCTAAACGGCAGGATTTGTTGAAGACCGGACATTCTGCATACTATATTGAGTGCTTTGATTTTCTCTCGGGCTTTCCAGGATGGCAAGTGTTTCACATCTAGGCCTACGTATCTCAGCGGTGCCATATCTCGGGGTGGAGCAGATTCCTTCACCGCTTTAGGTGCTGATCTAGCCTGGCAGATGCTGCACTCATACGCTTTCACAAGTTCGAGAACTGACTCCTGGGCGTGATGATGCCGAAGGATACGAATCATGTCAGCTTTGGAGGCATGACCAAGGTTGATGTGAAGTTTCTTGATGGCTCGTTCAACTCTCCTGCGGCCTTCACCTTTCAAATCACCTTGAACAGTTGCCTGGCTCACTGCATAGCATTGATGCTCTACGAACTCATGCTGGGCCATTGCTCCTAGAATGATCCTTACTAGTCTATTTGGATATACCTGGGTACGAATGGACCGCTGCATTCCACCCGAAGTTCCCTCCACGGCCTGATGGTCGTGGTTCTTGCTGCATGTCAATCGACCCAATGCTGAAGCCACGGTCTGGCAGTTTGTCATGAATCTCCAAGGTTTACCAAAAAGCAATCCTGACTTAGGGTCTCGCATCCCTACTGCACATGCCGGCACATCAATGATGAACGGTGCAAAACGACGAACAAAGCTCTGCATTTCACTGAGTCTCCATGCTTGACTGGTTTTGGATGATTCAAAAAGGAAAAACTTTCCTCGGGCAATGCATTCCGCAGCTCTATCCAAGGACCAACTTACCATGCCTTTAGCCTGTCTTACTTCTCGCTGGTGATGTGGCAGATCGACTCGCTTGACATCTGGCGTCAAGTTCTGCATGAGCGAGAGTGGACCGCATGGTGGCGAAAACACGGAAAAATCGGGATCTATAATGGCTAAGGCTTCTTCAGCTCTTCTCCTATGTTCCATTTTCCTCCAGTCCCAACCCTCACTCAGGTCCAGCGCGCCTCGGCCAGTGATGCCACACTGATCTGCCCATTCCTGAAATCGGCCAGGTGAAAAGACCTCCATCAATGACGGGGCGTCTCGAGCATTTTGAGCCAGGACACGAGTGACGTTTCCGAGAACTTCCTTTCGCTCTTTGGCCTTGAACACACAGCATACGCCGACATCGTCGTCGGCCTCATCATGGCTGGACTCTTCTTGAAATGATGTCACGCCCAGCACATCAACTTCTGGCGACACCACTTTGCTTCCTCCAGCGATGTCCAACAGATTGATCTGATATGAGTTGTCCTTCATCTCATGGATTGCTGCTGCAACTCCGGCCTTAGTCATGATCAGCTTGTTGTCGTTGAGGTCTATCATCGCCCCAACGCTCTTCAACAGCCGTTTGGATATCAAAAGGGGCACATCTCCAGGAACAACATGCAATCGCACCCGCAGCTCTTTGCCAGCAACGAACACCGGAAGTTCAATCCTCCGGCTTGTCTTGTCTGCCGAGCCGTTCCCGTATCGGAAGGTGTGCATCTTGTCTGGGAGTTCCTTGATGTTCATGCCATGTTTCGAAAGCATCTTGATGTGCCGTTCCAAGGTGTTTGCACCGACCAGCCCTCTGCCGCATCCTGTATCGAGGATGCCGTAGCCTGGTTCATGCACCAGGGCGCACATGCTCTCTTGTGGCTGAGATTCATCTTCTCCTTCATCATCACTAGTGCCAGGCTCACGGAAAGCCTGGTCCACTTCGTCCTCGTGAGGCCAGGATTGTTCTTGCTCATGCATCTCTGCAAAAAAGGCTGCTGTGATCTCGTCCACTTGATGCTCAACTCCTTCAACTTGGAAGGCATATTCTGCTCCAAAAATCTCTCTGTCCAGTGCATCCTCCGGATCAGCGAAATGGAACAGTGCGGCATCATTGAACCACCGCATGTCATCATCTTCCTCATATTGCAACCCTTGCACCTGGCATGCATACTCTTGGCCAAAAGTCTCTCTGTCCAAGGCATCTTGTGGATCGTTGTGTTCGAACAGCTTCTCATCGTTCACCCTGGGATCAACATCTTCTTCTCCGTGACCCTCGAGGTGGTAGAAAACTGTCCGTCCAGTCCACACCTTGTCTGTCTTGCGATGGGCTTCCAGGCTGTTCTTCCAGTTCGGAGTGAACTGTTCATCAGCCCGTCCGTCTTTGTCAATGAGGATCGTCGTTCTCGCCGTGCTCAACTGATCAACCGGCACGGGGCATCCAGTCCTGGCCGGACTGAACATTGACGACCGTGGATTGACATGGTGTCGGATCACTTCCTTGTCGGTCACTGTCCAATAGTCCTTTGGGCGGTCCGACCAACTGCTCATGACATCGTCGATCAGCTTGTTCTCGTCCTCCTCGTCCATGGCACTTGTCATAAACACGAGGCTCACCTTCGACGAACCGCTGGAATTGTCACCTTTGCCAGTCGATTTGCCCTTCCTGTTTGGGCAGTTTCTTGAAAAGTGACCCACCTTTTGGCACTTGTAGCAGCGGACTCGGGCTTCCAGTTTCTTCAAACCTCCTGAACTGAGCCCGCGTGATAGCTTTTCTTTGTTGATGTTCTGCCTCGTCTGCTTCCATGAGAGCAGCACATCCACTGCATCTTGTTCTTCAATTGGATCTTCACCCAAAAGGTCCTCATCTTCCTCCGCCAGTAGGACTTCTCCAATGTCACCTGCATCTTCGTCCTTCTGGTGGTCAACTTCAGCAACATGGCTACTGTGTCGGCCGGCGTACAGTCCTTCTGGATAGGTCGTCCTCAGAGCTGCTGCGATGTCTTGCTCCTCGTAGGACTGTCTCGATGCCGCCATGACGACGGACTTCTTGTCCTGGGGCAGTTTGGCATTCCTCAGCAGTAGGTAACCTCTGGCCACCGATGGGAGTTTCACACCTTCTGCTTCTGCTGCTGAAAATGCTGCTCTTGCCTTCCCAGTATATCCAGAAGTGGATTCACCCTTGTCAACCTTTAGGTCAAACACTCTGTCCAACACCTCTCCAAGTCGATCATGGGTCGCCTCCTCCGGGAATCTGTCATCCAGCACCTGGTAAATCAGGTCCTGTCCGCCTGTCTGCTCCAACTCGTCCATATTGATAGCATCAAAAGCTCGAAGGGCCGTCCCGTCCAGCATTGTAAACAACATTGCACCAAACACCGAATCATCAGTGCCCTTTGCACGCTGCACTGCCAGAAATGCTCGAGACCAGCGCTTCCAAAGCTTGTAATCCTTTTGAGGCTCGCTGCCATCACCACTGAACCGTCGGATCGCCGACTCATGCTTTGCTTGCTCTGCCATGCCGCTTTTCTCACACGCGGGCCCCGTAGGGCTCCGCTACCAGTTGCAACTGGTAGCCCAACCAACAAACAAACCTATGCTTGCTCAACGAAAGGATCCCTATCCAATCAAATGCCGCTGCTGCCTTTCATCCGCTCGTGGCCATGTCGGGTCCCCCGGCACCGTCCTGGTGCAAACGACCGCTACAGGCCTCAGCCGAGACACCACGGCGGGAGCTCTGACCAACCTGCAAGAATCACAGCTACCAAAGGGCTCCAAGCAGCACTTCGTCCTGGGGCCAACTGCATACCGCTCAGGGGTTGAAGAAGAAGGTCTTCAAAACTAGGGCATTAGACTTACAAATAAAACTGCTCTATTTGGGCTATTCGCGTCTATTTGCTCCAACCCTTGAGCAGCTCCTTGTCCTATCCTCGTTGCCAAAGCTGAGCCCCTGGGTGTGAAATGGTGTGACATCCTGGTGTGAAGATTCAACCCCATAACCAACCCCACACTCCAAGACTCAAGGAGGTCTTCTGGGAAATGGCAAGTACCCCGCGCTGGGTGCGCTTGACTGTAGATCAAGAATCCACAGCGCATCGAAAAGTCTTGAAACTGGAACAACTCCCGAAATGTCTGCCACATCCTGCCATGTCTCATCCCACAAGTTCCACAACTCCCCTGCCAACCTGCGTCCCCTCAACCGGCCAAGCTTCATATCCAACTCCACCGCCACCAGGATCTGCAGCCCTCCCGGGCGTCCGACGAAGCACACCTGCCCTCGGCGTCCGCCGGGCGAGACCTGACCGAGTCGGATCTCCACATCCACTGCGGATGGGCTTTCGGTGGGGCATCTGCTGTGAACGTATAGATGGACCCTCCAAAGTACAGAAAATTGGACATGACCCCATCAAAAACAGGTACTCGGTACCAATTGTCCGAGGTACGAACTGAGACTTCAGGTAGATGGAAAAGCACCCAAATCCGTGATCCAACAGCAATTGGAACATGGACCTTTGGCCCCATGTTGGCCCCGGAAAATCCACCTTGATTTGGTTTGATCACATGCACCGTCGCGTGGAACATTGATGTTCCAAATTCCCTTACCATTGGTTAGCTGCTGAGTGGGGCTGCAACCAAGCCCTTACAAAAACAAACAATACTGAAATTCCATCCAATTCCAAGATATTCCAAGCATCCGAACTAAACCTCCTCCACGAACGCCCACTCGCCGAATGGCTGGCCTCGCAACGTGCGCCCAATGGGTGGCTGGCCATCTGCAGCATCATGGCCTCGGTGAATGTTGGGCAAAGCAAGCGGTGGGACCAGCCACAGGGAACTCGGAAATCTATGGTAAGTGGGATGATGATGATCACTGATGATCTGCCAACGTGGGATGTCCCTCAACAAAAAGGACCTAATTGTAAACTAGCTTGTAAGTTTTTTGTTTTTTTCGCGTGACAGGTCTTGGGCCTCCTGGAATACCAGTGGGCATATATGTTGTATTGTGTTGTCACTTGTCCTCTAATAACAAACCTGAATACGCCGCCTGTCATCCATTGTCCAATACCGTTCTACAAGTACATGCTGTATCAACGTCCGATTTCTCAATCAAACTTAAGTGCACACGATGGTTCAGGTGGAAGCCGAAGATCCCTTCAAACAGACACACCTAACCACAGTGACAAATTAAGGCTGGCAAGAAGAAGAAACGTCCAATCGCCCCATTTTTGACAGCAGGCGCTTCAGGTTTGGGGGGGTTCACATGGTTACTGCGCCCAAAACCACCCTTTGAACGCCGGCATCAGGGCGGGTGAGAAGTTCAGTGACACTTTCGGTCGCCCCAGGGGCCTCCACCGAAGAAGTCTCCTGCGAACCACTGCGGACGATGACGATGTCTCATGGTCATTGTCAGCTGATCCGCCCGAACACAGCGGCGGCGGCATGAGCTGCATGTGGGGGCCATCCGTCCGAACACCTGAACCCATCGCTTCCATCTATAAGTGGATGGCCCCGTTTCAACGACCGGAGGTATCCGGAGGTCGGTCCCCCTGCCATCGACCCCCCCCCGAAACCCCGAGAAACCCGGAGTCCACTCCCCCAAGCCCAAGGCCCATTAGGCTGTGGCTTCCGTGGAGCTTGCCATGGCTCTGGCGAATGGGGGAATGGCACCAAGCAAAGTACAAACGAATTACGCACTGTTGCAGGGAATTGGACATCTCTCAAATCTCTCCACCTGTATCGCCATCTTGGCGATTCAGGGCTCACTTCCCAACCAAAACCGTCCTGGACGGTCTGGGGCGGTCCCTCTGACTGCAAGGCTTCCCGCTTTTCCTCAGTCACATGACACATCAAACAACTGCAAAGTGGCGATGCGGGATTCCAATGCCAAACTGCGACCCAAACTCACTGAAAAGCACACAGCATGCTGACAAGCTGGTAACTTTGTTGAGTTTACTGCAGTGTACCACATGTCATACCATTGGACATGACCAAACCAGGTCCTTCTCTGTCCCTCAAGGCTTCTGGCCAAAGTTCGATCAGCTCCCGCGTTTGGGCGCTGACTCGCACGGTGCTGGGAAGATCCATGGCTCTGTTTGGGCCAAATTGGTGCAGGGGTCCTCTGCCCCGTTAATGGACCACATGCTCCTTCACCTGCCCAGTTTGGGTGGCCTTCCGGTGAACCGAGACAACGTGTTGCCCCATGACGTACAAGGTCTCGGACTACTAGGGGCTCCTGGCCTTACTACTAGGAACAAGAAGCTATTAGAAACAAGAATTAGAATTACAATTGAATTCTTCCTGAAACATGGGAACTTTTCGAGAAGTGCCCCCTATACGGACGTGGAATAAACTGGCCAGCGACAAGTGCGGTGTGAATGGAGCTGCATTTGTTGAACCAAAAGCTGCCTGCTGTCGGACTCTGTGACCTGCAGCCGTCGTTTCAAGGCTAAGCGGCTTCACTTATCTTACAAGAATGGACTTCCTATAGAGTACATGTGCCGCAAAGGAACAAACTCAAACCAAATTGCTGGCTAAAGCTTAGGCAGAACGTCTTGAAGGTTCTTGAAGGAGACAGAATTCGGTGAAATGCCCTAGCTGCTAGCCGCAAAAGGCCCAATGCCAGTGTCACATGCTTGTGATCCAGTGTCTGCCACCACCAATGAGAAACTAACAAAACATCCCGAACCGTCCGGCTCTCCTCGTATGGCCGGTGGTCCTGAAAGGCTTCTGATTTTTTGGATCCAGCTGATGCAAATGAAGTTCTTCAACTTCAACCTGAATATCAAGGGCCACTTCAATCTTCTCTTCTTGGCTTCTTTGGACCATGCCACTGTTCTGCTCCACCAACCCAGTGCTGACCAAAGCTATTTTCGAAGGTGAAACCAGAACGGTAAAGCACCGATGCCTCCGACATCCTCCAGCCAGGTGAGTCCGCTACGTGGAGCCTCCGTCCAGAAAGAAAACAGGGCTGCACGACCAGTGTTCATTCCAACCTAGAAGCGGTGGCCTCCAACCTAAGAGCGGTGGCCTGTCGTTTGGGTAAGGGTTCAACAAAAAATCAAAAGGAAATCAAAAAAATATTCAACGGGGATTTAAAAAAACATAAAAAGGGAATCAACAAATATTCTAGCCCTACAGACAGGGGCGCGGCCAAGAAAAGGGCAAGAGGAGGACAATCTGCAAATGAGATGGGCGACCCTTTACATAATTAGTTTTCGTATGTTTTCGTGGCAGGCGCAGTGGAGAGTGCAGATTTTCTGGTGCTGGAGGGGGGTTGGGGGGGGGGCGCAGCGCCTCCCCCCCAAAGCGAACCAAACGTTAACACACAGCACCACAAAAGAACTCACTAGAAACTATGTACCCTATCGCCCTTTCAGTGAAGGGCATCTAAAAGTGCACAAAAGGACCTAACCAACAGAAGCCAAAAACATTATACGTTTGCAGGAAAACTGCGGCCAATAAACTACAAGAGAAAGGACCAAAGGCATCAAAAAGCATCAGTGAAAGAACAAGGAGAAAACCATAGGAAACCCTCAGACCAGAGGACCAGGAGGGCAAAGGACAAGGAGACCACGGGACCAAACCAGTACCAAAGGACCAGGGGGCCAAACGGAGGACCCGCAGACCACAGGGCCAGGAGAGCAGCAGCAGAGGCCTATAAAGGAATATTGTTGTTGATCCTTTATTTGTTTTTGTTGATCTACATGCCCTGTCGTTTTCTGAGCACATGGCACACACAAATTCACCTCACCAGCCCACCAAGGCCTCAGAAGTCCGAGCCCGCTGCGCAACTTGAGGTTTGGCCTGGCAAAGACTTTTGGTGCGCTGGGGCAGCAAGTAGCGGTCTTGGGGTCCAGTTAGAGGATGAAACGTGTCGAGAAGGATACTCCAACACTCACTTGCGGTTTGTAGGTAAACCGTATTGTCAGGAGACCAAGTTCCATCGTTCGCTGCCCTCTGGCCTAATCCAAACTCCCAAGGCCTAAGGTTTATGTGTACCTTCTGACCACTCCCAGTGCAACTGTGTCAATTGTTCTCCACGTGTCTCCACCATCTGGCAGACATGTTACACACAAAAACATATATTATACAATATATAGTATAATTTATAGTATATATATATATAATAGTAAGATACAAAATAAAGAGAGCTCGACGTTATGCGGGTGTGGTTTTTACGCGTTTTTGTTGTGTTTTTCTTAGATTTTGTCATGTTTTGAAAGAGTGTCCACGGTTGCGGTCTAGATACGTTCTTGTGCTCCTGTTTCCCAAGCAATCCAACTTTTATTTGTTTAAAGCAACCTCTGGATCCGACTCTACCCTTCCTTGCACATAAGCATTCTCATTGTTGCAAAGGTAGTACTTTTTGGGCTTCTCCCTCCACATTCTTTATGAAATGGGCTTCTCCCTCCACATTCTTTATGTAATGGAGAGAAGATCATTATTTTGAAACACAATGTGCCCACCAGGCCCAACAAAAGTTGAGAAACTCGCTTAGTAGTACTGGGCCTGGATGACTGATTGGAATTGGGCTTTGCA